ACCCCTCTCCTGAATGACGGTTGCCCAGTCATAGCTTAGTAACCGTAACTAGGCACACACAGGCAAACCTGTAAAGCTTAGTTAGCTTAGCTAAGTGTCAGGAATGGATTAAAGAGTGTGTTTGTCTTTTCTAATGTAAGCTGCAAACATTAGCATCTCCGGCTAACTAGCTTACTACCTACACAGTAACTGGTGTTACCTCAAATGCCAAGGCTACACTACATTAGCTTGTGGGGTGCATCCTGGATTAGTGTTCAGGCTAAAATTAGCGGCTCTGGAACAGGTAGGTTAGCCTTTTAGCCTCGTCTTTAAACACGATAACATGTACAGTATTCCTAGAATGGCAACTAGGGTTGAGCGAACACTTGGCTAAAACAAGTATCTGGTACAGGTATACGAGTATCAAACGGGTAAAATGTGTCACTGTCTGTAATCGTAAATATACCAATTTTTATTTAAAAAACTGTAAATAGTTCTCTTACGCTCAAGATCAAAAACATTGCTCTGAAGCTCCAGTCTGTCAATAGTTTTCTAATAATTATAATAAAGAAATATCAATTTCCAATTAGTTTCGCCCACTTCTGGTTTAAGCACCATCAACATGCAGTTTAAGCCCCGCCCATTCTGAGTATTGATACTAATACAGATATTTTAGTTTGTTGAACAAATACAGATATAGATAATCGTTTGCTCACAGAAGGAATTATCCACTCTTAGCGAACCCAGACCCTTTTGGATTTACTGTCAGAATCACTATGATTCGACGAACAGCGTGACTTCTCTGTTGCCATCCTAGGAAATGAAAAAAAAAAGGTACATATTCTTGTTTAAAAAAGAGTCATGTTAAGACAGCATTTCTAACAACTATAGGAACAGGAACTATAGGGTTAGCTTAATTAACTAGCTAAAAGAAAAGTAGGAATAATTACTTGATTTATTCAAATTATTATTATAATTTTTTGGCTAGCTACAGCCATACCTGCCAATGTTTGGGTTTTAAAATACGGGTGGGGGGTTCAGTCCAGCTCTGCTTAAATTGTATGCCTGCACAGAGAGCAGCTCTGCAGTTGCCCCTTGAAACAGGTTGTGGGTTGCCAGGTTTCGGTGACAGATGGTTTGACTTGTATCTAGTGTTTTATAGCCAATCTGGCAATTTGGGTGACGACAAACTCTATGTATCTGTGTACGATTATTCATGATAAAGTTTGAGGGCCGTGCAGATTACAGGAGTTTCCCGGGTGAAAAACAAAACAGGAAGGCACTTGGAGTTGGCCTTGAAAATAAATACGGGAGAAATCGCTGGTGGCAGGTATTATTTCAGCTGGCAAAAGTGATGGCCACCAGTGCCACCAAATGAGAAGTCTGCTTTTGTCAACCTCAGTCTAAAATCAGTGGCCTATTGTTTCAAACATTACTAAGAATTGTGGTGGTAAAACTGTCATTATCATTATAAACTGTATATGTGCCATGCAAGATAGCTTGTGTAGTGTAGCTTTCTGAGACCTCCTCATGTGAGACAGTTGAGTTACTGAAGGGAACAAAGTCCAATGCTGCCACCTGATTTAACATGATGATCCAAACACACAGGACACCACATTGCATTGTAGCTGACCACAGGGTGCTGAGTCACTGCATGTGCACATTCACATTTAAATGTTCATACACAGCTGTACCCCCCTCATTTTAGAGATTTTGGGATGGGGGACTCTGCAGTATAGAGGGGGAATGTAAGAGAAAGGGGGGCTGCATGTGGCACCAGCCTGGCGCAGACATCGTTCCCGTTGCTCCCTTAGCTACGCCGGCGCCATCTGTCATCTGCGTGAACATCTGCAAACCCAAGGTGCCCTTGTCACCCAATGTTAGAGCAGTATGTTTGGCTTTTCCATTAAGGAAACCTGGAGTGATTCACTAGAACAAAACCTATTAGAATGGATGGTGTAGTGGTGAATCAGCTGGGTTGCAGAGGCACATTAAATAGTAGGATTCCTCCTCGGGCAACGCTGCCCGCCTGTCTGCTGTGTTTGGCTAGCATGACATCTCATCAACTGACTGACAATTTGGCCTGCCGTTTCTTTATGAGCTTCGGCTCCATGGAAAGAAAATAGGGATGCTTAGAGGGCTGCAGCACCCCCTAAAATCAATCATAATAAAAACCATTGATTAATTAAAAACATTTTTAAAAAAATGTTTTTCTTCTTTTACTGGTATATGCTGAATGTTTTATTGTTGTTTTATCCATTAAATCTGCAGTATGTAACTTTTATAAAAATAACTTTTTGTCATATCTGCTGAACCTTTCACTATATCCTGACAGTAGTACATGAGACAGATAATCTGTGAAAAAATCAGGTTCCTCTGGCTCCT